TAAGTGAAAGGCGTTCATAAATTATTTAAAATACATTTACTTAGATGGCGCCTGCAATGCCGTCTTAGATATGGCATGCTTCGTTTATAACAAAAAGGGGCATAAAATATGTAGCAAAACTTTAATGGACTCGTTGATAGTTTTGATGTATGATGATATGTGGCACAATTAATAATAATTTTAGTTTTTTTTTTTTTTTTTTTTTTTTTTTTTTTTTTTGAATAGAACAGGTAAAGTGCAGATACGAATCGAGGGAATCTGAAGATAACTAATATTATATATGCATAAAGGGATAAAGGAGACTGATGAAAGGATCAAGCAAATAAATAAAACATATAAAATTTTTCAAGTGCATCCATCCACATAAATACACTTATAAAATCCCTAATGGCGAAAGAAAATAAAATAAAATGAATTTGTGCTAGCGTGGAAGTGCTTACCTGCCACTTTTGAAATTAAGGAAATGCTAAGAAAATATATATATATATTTTTTTTTATTGTCAGAAAATTCTCTTTCTTTCACTTTCTTACATAAAGACATACATACATATGTGCGAGCGTATGCACTTCTGTACTATTACGGGCCAAACTAAATGATTCGGTTTTGTCATTTTTTTTTTTTTTTCGAAAAATATCGTAAAATATTCTCTATACAGTGATGGTTAACAGTATAGAAAAGGCGCATAGATAACGGTAGATTCTGTGGAATGCATTACGTTTGCTTACACTTTTTTCATAACAGTTGCACGTGTTATGTTATGTTAAAAAGTAAAATTCTGTTGTCATGTATGTTAAATATCCTATAAAGACTTGCGTTGTCCTTATCATTGCTTTAGTTTTCTAAAACACACACTTTATGACGGTCGTGCACAAAATTCGAAAAGGCAACGATTACCATAACGATATATCATAAATTGTTAATTACGAGAGGAGTGTGTCCGCTTGCGGGCGTTGTGTCTTTTATTTTTTTAGTGTGCGTAACCTGTTATATATATATATATATATATATATATATATATATATGAATTAACGAAGATAGCAATATTGTGTATTAATACGTACGTACCTTAGCTAACCTTTTGGAACACAAGTGAAAGCAAAAACTGCTTATATCCTTATAGCAGAGAGAGAGAGAGAGAGAATACTATCCCTTGTGATGTAGTTGTAGATTGATGCAGTGTAATTGTTTCGTTGTTGTAATTGTTGCTTCAAATCTGCATACATATACAAACAATGTATATATACGAAGTTTAATTGTTCTTGAGCGGGTTTATGTTTCTTTATTTACGAAAGGAAAATAAACAGAATTTTAAGAACATCTCCTAAATGAAAGATGTGCATATGATATTTGAAAATGAGCAAAATAAAAAAATAATATGATAGACGTTTATGAACTGAATCAAATATTTTTTTAAAAACGAATTTGATTTGATTTTTCTATCCGAGTATATAAGTAAGAATTAATAAGTAAGAGAAAAAAAAAAGTGAATAAAACTTTTTTAAATAACCAAAGTCAAGTCATTTAATGGCAATAAGCGCATAAAAGTTATTATGATACAATGGAAATTATATAAACAAATTCCTCAAACTCTACGATATATATGCTCATTGAATTATTCACGTGCAAAGTGTCAATTTATTATTTAATTATTGATGCCTTTGGATTGAATTATTTCGCATTAATTCATTCAATATTCAATTTGAGACCAACGCTAAAGACAATTGAATTTATTTTGATAATTAATCGTACGTTATGGCTGTCATAAATTATAAAAGCCACACATTGCTCAACCATTGTATTAATTGTGATTGTTTATCTTATCTGAACGATAAGTAATACAGATATAATAGAGGTCAAAATAATATTGGTCAGTTCTGATTGCCAACTATGTATAGAAGAGAATTACAAATTTAGTCACAATGCTAAGTGCGTCTTTTTGACAAATCTTGGTTATCCACTATAGTGTATAAAGGTGCATAAGAAATCTTTTTTTTTTTTTTTTTGATTTTGAGCGTTCGAAAATATTTAATCATTCGATCAAGAAAAGTAATTATGCGCATTAAAACAAAACATTTAAAAGTTTTATTAACTTCTCAGTATAACATAAATAAAACACATCAGAGAAGTTATCTTTTCCTTTACCTTCCTAGGATCTATTCTTGTGTCAGCACAAATAAGTTTTACTGAAATATTTTCATAATATTGTTAGGTTATGATTTAATCGGATATATTATAGAGTATAAGGCCTCACTTGTTTTTGCTTTTGCCTCATATAATGAGCACCGAAGTATAATCGTATACCACTCTTGTTTTTGTGCGTGCAACAGGTCGATATAGGCACCAAAGATCTTATAGGTTCAATATTAGTCTTTCTTTTGTTCTTTTCGTTTGCTGTTTGTTATTTGAATTCTGCTGGTCGCGTTAACATCTATAAAAGATTAAAAGTTGGTACCTTTATTCTTAGCTGATAATTTCGACGTAAGAACTGTCAATAAGTTGCGACCTATAAAGAGAATTTAAAAAAGCTAAAAATCTTATAGTGAGGTTTGACACATTATTAAATACTCAAAATATATCACTTCACTTAATACAGTTCATCATATACGGACTTTTTAGTATAAGGAGGCATATGGGAAAGGGTGGAAGAAGCGGTCCGATTCGTACCATTTTCAAGAGCATTGGTGCTTGGGTTAAATTCACTAATGGTACGCCAAATTTTATCAAAATATCTCAAAAATGTACAAGATGGACGGACGGACGGACAGGTAGACATGTGTAGTTCGATTGACAATGTGACTCGTAAAGTAATTCTAAGTCGATAGGTATAATAAAAGATGGGGCTATATCATTGATATCTTCTGCGAGTTGCATACATCCACACATGCGAGTTGTGGTACCCTTGTGCCACCAGTAACGTAGGTTTTAATGCTGTAAACTAAATGATAGGGGCATTCGCAGGTGCGATGGAGGAAAATAAATCCCGATCGGCTAATAATATGCCCACGGCAGCCAATACTGTTGCTTTTATCGACGAGACGAGTGTATAAGGGAGGCCGTAAGATGATCAAACGTCGTATACAAACTAGCGTGAAAGCTAGACTGTATATCTCCTTGTTTTGCATTTTAATAATTTTTTGCGTCAACTTACTTCACCGAAAAAGAAGCCTAAGGTAATTAGTTAATCAACATGATTGAAAGATTTTTACGATATAGCGCTGCCCCGTCTTTATTTGTTAGCATGATGGAACCGAGGTCGAGTTATATTTGATATGATTTTTAATTTTGTGTTGACATTAATGTTAATTAGTAAATAAATTACATGTATAAGAGTTAGCACTTAAGTAGGTGGATTAACAACTTATCGATACAATTCTTAAGATGATGAACTACGGTGTAGAAGTTAATCGTAATTTATCTATTAATTTGAGACATATGTTTTGTAAAATTTTCAATACTAACGTTGATGCTATGCAATATGTGTATGAATGTCAGACTCAAGAAATTCAGTTTTTTCTCTAATAATTTTTGGAAAAATCTGATATATTGAAAGTCGTTATTATCTACAATTTTTTAAATTAATATGTTTTTAAGACTTATGGGCCGAGTAATTCGGCATCTTCTTATTTCTTATTCTATAGCACGTAGAATATTGTGATGAATTATATATGGAATTCGAATCAAGCGAGCGACTTCGCTAAAATTCTAAATATTTAATTCAATTTGAAATTTCTTAATTTACTGCCATATTAAAAACATTGCCCAAATAATGCTATAATTAATTGAAACTTCTTTTGAATCCGTTTTATGTAATATTCAAGTCATATATTTATTTAAATCCTGGCCTCAGATAGACTCTCAAGATTTTTCACAGAAGATTAGGTTTTTCTATTGAAAGGATTGGATTGGTTTTTGGTCAGGAAAGCCAGAATTAAAATTTCTGTGATTAAGTAAAGAAAGTTAACATTTCACTGCTTCACAGTATTAAAATCGAAATTTCATAGTCTTGGCGCAATTGTAATAAGCTGCAATGTACTGAATTTCTGACATCGCCGTAATCAAATTATTTATCAATTCTAGGGTCATTCATATAGATAATCGCAGCAGTTTAAGTTATTAATTTGGAACTTGATCGTAATAAAGCTGGAAGATATTATCGGCATCTAAAAAAATCTGATATTTCAGAATTATAGACTAATAAAAATTTAAATTAGGAAAGTGAAAATTAAATAATAAACGAACATGCCAATGTTTAAATGCAACTTCTTCTGCTTAATTCGAAAGATAACGCTGCTGACTTATTATGGGCAATGAACAAAGGATGCGTGACGTTATTCAAAGCATAAATAATGAAGATGCACCCAAACTGAGCTATTAATCTATGACAGTTCCTTTTCGGGCCTAATGCACCTAAATGCAGCCTATTATGTATTGGTACAACCAAACGAATGTTATCAGCACTAACATGGACAGTGCTATCCGCCTTGCCGCTATCAGCAGACATTTTACATTAGACTCACGTAGGTTACAATTGATGAGTGATAGTTTGTTCGGGTGAGATTTCTATTGTCATAATTGTATGCAAAAAATAGTTGTTCTTGTACACAATCTTAAAACGCTGGTTGTCTCTTCCGTAGGGAGTTCATATTTATGTTATGAATAATGTCTTGAATAAATCGTATTTTGCATTTCTCTTAAAATTTTCAATTTTTGATTGATCAAAAAAAAAAAAAAAAAAAAAACCCGGAGATTTGGTGCGCACCAATATATCATATATGCGAGTGGTTGGTTGTTTTCTTTACTTAAAGCCATAAATTCACAGGCGCTCTTCCTTTTTAAAAACTTAACTTTTCTCATCCAGGGAAATGTAAAAGGAATGAGAGTAAAAATAGAAAAATATTCAATTAAACATGAGTGCGTCTCCCGTTTTTTGCGAAATGGTTGACACTCTGCATGTTGTAAATATTTCATCCTTCTATTTAGAGCACATCAGCATATGCTGATAAATGGAAATATAAGTGAGAAAAAATAAAGCAGTAAACTTATGCATGTGACCTAAAAAGAACAAAACAAGATAAATAAACTGAAACAATCTGCCGCAGGCCTACGCACAAATGACAGGAAAAAAAAACAGAAATTGAAATGAATATGTGTTGATGATAAAACAGAAAAGTCTAAATAGAAATTTTTGCGAGAAGGAATTTGTTTTCTCCATATCGTCCCAAAGGTTTCACTAAAAAGTGCTTGACGCTTGACATAAAAATCAGTGGGAGATACATCAGTGTTTGTTAATGACATCCGGTGAATGGGATTTGCGTGCTCTCAAAGCACTCGAGGAAGAAGAGGAAGAACAAACGGAATTTCTGGCACTAAGTCAAAAAGGTTTGAATGATCTGCAACTAATAACACCACCACCACCGCCGCCTCAATCAACGTCAACTGACGAACAGCAGCAGAGAGATTTTTCTATTATTGGCAACAATAAAACTAACAACAATAATAATAATAACAATAATAATAATAACAATAGCAATAATAATAATCATGTATATGTGCAGTTGCAAACCCAGCATTTAATGAAATTGCCGACCATAAATGAATGCTATTATATGGTGAAGAAATTTAAAAATAAAACGAAGGATGTACTGACAGACGGATCGGAATGTAACGGCAGCAGTGGTGTTGAGGGCCGATTAAAATTTACTAAATCTCTTTCCCTATCCGCGCATTCATTGCGATCCCGTTTTGCGGAAAGCGGTAACAAGAAATCTAACAAGTTTAGCGGCAGCTTATCGCCGTCACAGCAGTCATATAGTTCCTCGCCCATTTTCACTTCACCACCTTCACGATGCTGTAATACTTTGCATCATACACAACCCGTACGAAAAACCTTTAAGACCTTACAACAGCTGGAGGCTCAAAAACAAGAACGCAAACGTGAATTAAATATAAAGCGGACGCTGCACCGTATACCTGGCACTAACAAAACATATTGGAAGTATAACATTAATAATTCAGCGATTGTCGCGCAAAGTGCCAAGTTTCCTCGGCAACAGCAGCAACCGAATAACAGTAGAGCTTCAGATTTAGAATCTAATACTTCAGATGAGGTAGACCCAGACGAAACTCAGTCGTTGGAAAGTTATGGCAAAACTAAGGCTTTATGTCCCGTACCATTACAGGAGAGCTACGAAGGTATAAATGCAGAAACCCAATCCTGTAGTGTTCCCTTGGTCAATGATTCAGTAGAAATGTTAAGTTTAATGTTAACGGCTGCTTCAACGGCAGTAAATACGACCGGTGAAAAACCACCCGATGTAGCACCAATTGCTGGTGGCTTTGTACGTAATTTTCCCAAATATCTGTCTTTAACGCGATATCCTGTCAATACAAATACTAACACTATCACTACTACGCGCATTTCTGACCAGAACAATGAAGAAACTGTTGCTTATGAAGCTTTTCATCATACCCTCTCACGACGTAAAAGCTTTTCCGGTGAACGGCAACGAGATAATTCGCTGTTGCGTGATTCCACTTCACACGTTAATGATATGCTAATCGGCAGAGAGATGCCTGCTCTTTATACGAGTGCTGTTAGCCAACAGAATAGAGCTCTGTTAAAGTCTTCCTCAGCTGACATACCAAATTATACAGATTTTACTATAAATGTTCATAACAAAACTGGTAGCACTGCGGGGGCGGATGTTACTTTAACTTCTCCCACCATCATAGCGAATCCTTCAGTTACCAATTTAAAGCTAAACAAATCATATCATAATAACAAATTACCATTTTTACCAACATCCGATGCAGCGACAACAACAATTACAACAAAATTGCAAGCTTTGCAACCTGCCCCTATGATAAGTGGGAATTTTAATGATTGTCCTTTGATAAATGATTCTTTCAATAGTTGCTGTAGCGATAATTTGTTTGCCAGCAATACCACAAACGGCCAAAAGCAACATAGGATGCATGGTGGCTTTCATTGTTCCGAAAATTATACAACAACAACTGCAAACATTTCGGGTCCCAGCGATAGTCAAAATCCATCGAAGCATCATTCAATTGATGACGAGCTCGAACAACATATCAAGCATTGCTCATGCTCCTGCAATCATATGGGTTACGGCAATTCAATGGACTATCAGGTAAATGCTTAATTTTCGATTCGAATCCTACATATATACATACATATCCATATATAGTGTTCATGTTTTGTTATGATACTTAAACGTCTTTTGTTTTCGTTGAGCAATCTTTTGGTTTTAAAATACTTGCGTTATAAGTATTGAAAGAGATTCACACATAAATGCCTCGATTCCCCCTATCCTATTTTCAGTCAGCCAACGCATTATAATTTTGAGTGATTTTGTATGAAAAGACTTAACAGAGGATACATGTATGCTCTTACTTGGTATTGATCGCATTAAATATTTCTACCGCCCTAATCCTACTACTGTCCTTCGGGCGAAACTTTGTGCACTTTTCAAGTGGAAGTCACGTCAGTTTCGCTAACGATAATGGTATTTTCAACCTAAGTGACAATTCCGATATAAAAATTCAAATAGATTTTCTACGCTCAGGTTCAGGTTGTCGAGGTTGCATAAGTTAAAATATTCCCTTGTTTATTTACTGAAACAATTTTCAAAAATTGTTTTGTTCTGTAAACTTGAATTTAATTGTATGCTCCGTGGTGTGAATGGGAATACTCGATAAATTTTTACTTACATATGTATAATGTATTATGAAAATCTCAGCAACAGGCAACAGGCAACAGGCATCTATTACGCATGTAGAAGATCATTTCTTTCTTCTTTTATCAGTACTTAATACCGATATAGACCTAGAGTTTCCACTTAATATTAGTTTGGGGAAAAAGAAATCCATAATTTTTATATGAACTTCAGGACTTTATTTAACATGCTTCGGATTGTCCGATTTGGGTCAAATATGCACCCTTTTTATTGTATGATTTGTTGCCATTTTAAAGGTAACTTCAAAATGCCTCTCTCATAGAAGTCCTGGTCTCTAATTGCAAAATACTCTAGTAGTCGATTTTCACAATCCTCCCTAGATTCCAATTTTTTATCATTAAAGAAATTTTGCAAAATGCAAGAAAAAGATGATAATCGCTTGGTGCCAAGTCCGGACTGTATGGCGGATGCATTAAAACTTCCCAACCAAGCTCCCGAAGTTTCTGGCGAGTCACTGTAGATGTGTTTGGCCTAGCGTTGTCCTGGTGGAACACGACACCTCCCCCTGTTTCTGGTCAATCGCTATCTTCAAACGGTCCAGTTGTTGACAGTAGAGACCAGAATTTAGCGTTTGGCCATATGGAAGCAACTCATAATAAATAATCCCCTTCCAGTCCCACCAAATGCATAGCAAAACCTTCCTGGCCGTTTGAGGTGCTTCACCGCTCTTTGACCACGATCGTTTTCGCACAGGGTTATCGTATGTGATCCATTTCTCATCTCCAGTCACCATCCGTTTAAGAAATGGGTCTATCTCATTCCGTTTGGCCAAGGCTTCGCAGATGGAAATTCGATCCATCATGTTTTTCTCTGTTAATTGGTGTGGCATCCAAACATCGAGCTTCTTTTTGAATCCAGCTTTGTGTAAATGGTTTAAAACTGTTTTATGGTCGATTTTTAGCTCCTGGGCGATGTTACGACTGCTAACATGCCGGTCAACTTCGATCATTTCTCTGAATTTATCGAGATTTTCGACGACCGGCCTACCTGTGCGAAGTGCATCATTCCTGAACGGAATCTACGAAACCAAAATTGCACATAATTGGCTGTTACAGTATCGGAACCATAAACACTAATCACAATTTTAGCCGCCTGGCTTGCATTTTCGCCTTTGTCAAAGAAAAACTGTAAAATGTACCGAATTTTCTCTTTGTTCACTTCCATTTTTAACACGCTGTAACTCACAACTGAATGCACCAAACAAAAAATAGCAAAAGAATTTTTTTTACTGTGAAATGTACAGTATGTAAATGTACAGTATCGGAAATTGTTTGATCGATACTTTACGAGTGCATACTCTATACTCGATACTCTATCAGTGCAGCCATCTACCGAAAAAATAATGGATTTCTTTTTCCCCAAACTAATATATAATTTTTTTTTTCTTAATTTGAGGTAAAAACGGTATAAGATAATATTGTGATATAATGTGTAATAGGGAAATTTTTATTTGCAAATAATATCATTTTAATGATGATCTCTGGATGTTTTTTAAAAATTCATATCTGGAACAATAATTTTGTACCACACTTTAGTGGCAATTAGCCAATAAATACGCTGATGAAAGGTAAAGGTATTTGAGCAGTATTTTTTCGTTACTGTTAACTACAACAAATTTTGCATCATGATCTAGAATTCTAAGTTAAATTGCAAAAGATTGCAACTTAAGACTTTTTGAAAATATGTTCCAGAGCCTTTAAGAAATTTTTTAACAACTAAATTCTACATCGATGATCAGCACGCATGATAACTTTGAAAACTAGTTGAATCGACCTTAAAATTTTCAAAACTTGTCAATTGTCTTAGTTTTCTAAATTATGTCATCGAAATTATAGCACTTTTCTTGTACCGTATAATACTTAATAAAATCTCCGTATTCACTACGACACTCGACTAGATCGGAAAAAAGAGTGTAGTCAAAGCTGTTAAGAAAAAAGTAAGGAGAAGACGAAGAGAAAAGAAGGAACGACATACACGTACAATAAAGACGCTTTAGATAGAAATAAGTCTTCTTTATTTATACCTGGATATTTAGGCCCATATAAATCTAGATTGAAATGCATACACTCTACGATCGATTTTCGCTCCTTATTGCAATAAGATAGTGGATGTAGATGGATATCGCTTTTCTGTTCGAGTGTTTGGTGGTTGATAAACAATAACACAATCACATATTTGAGAAAGTGAAGTTTAGTTGAAACATTCTTCATTTTGTGTGAAGCGAAGTTTTTGAAAATATTGGATAAGTAATAGAAATGTTTATGAATAAAACATAAAATAAAGGAGAGAGATGAAAGAGATGCCGAAAGGAAGAATTTAGTGTTTTTAGACAAATACTATTAAAAGTAAGCTATTAAAATATGTTTATATATAAGTCACTATAATAAATTCACAATCTAGTGTTGTGAACTTAATTTAAGGCATATTCATCGCTTTGTTACCAATGATGGACATTGTCTTTATTTCTATGCCGTATTTTCAGAAGCGTACAACAAATTGGTGACAAGTGTTTTCGAACCTAAACGAAGGGTGGCAAGCATTGCGTCCCCAAGCGAATATATTTTATTTTACTTGATTTTGTTTACGTTTGAAACGGCGCTAATAGGAAAGGAGAATTGAATTGTTATGCAATTCACTACCTAAAGCCTTTTACGGCATCCTTTATGCAGATGCAGTATTAAAAAGTTTCCTATACGAGCCTTAAACTATGCACAGAAAACTTTGTTTCCGTGCACAATTGGTTTGTTTAAAAACTGCAAATGTGTATTTCTGATAAGCGTCTGCCGGCTGGTTGGTTAGTTCGTTAGTTGGTTAGTTGGTTCACTGCATTCTTGCATACAAGAACTGTCTGAGTGGAAAAAAACTTAGCAATTTATATTCAAATGAAAATAAACCGTTTTAGTAATAAATAAATTAATAAGTAAAAGCAAAGTAAAACAAGTAAAAAAAATTATATTCGGCTTTTGCCGATAACTTTTGTACCTATAATTTTTGTTTTGAATTATTATTATTAAAATTATTACAAAAATGAAAAGAAGAAAATTTATATGGTCGAATATTTTACAAACACGCTACAACGTCAAAACTCAAAAAAGCGTAAAATTGATGTTTCAGCTGTTTATAGTATTGGATAGATTGAGCCGATTTTTCCCAATTTTGCATAGGTGGTGTAGGATCACACTTTATAAGTGAGGCGAAAACGATTTAATTTTTTTTGCTCTGCAAAACAGTTCACATTATGCTGTGAGTGTGCCCTATCACCATGATTTGATCCTGCGTGAAAGAATTGTTAACCATTTTATCAAGTTTGAAGTCGTTATCTTAATTTTTTCGATAAGAAGAAGGCTTACAGCAAGTCTCCGACACACAGGCAGCCATGCCTATATCGATTTAAATTTTGATACTGGCCATGAATGTAGACGTTTCAAAGCAACTTTTGATGATCCTTTTGAGTGCTGCAAACGTTTCGACAAAATCGATCTATCCGCATTCGATGGTGGGAATAAATGCATTAAAATTGCAATTAAACAAAATGAAATGGTAAAATGGCAATAATGAAATTATATTCATTTAGTTAAATCCGGGGTAAATGTAAATAATAAGCAGCTAGAAAAAAATTGAGAGTATGCGGATGAGAGCCGGTAACCTTACTGTTACATCTTGCCCGGTACTGAAATACTTAGGAGTTGTGATCGATAATCGGCTAAGCTTCAGGCAAATACTGAAGAGCTTAGAGCTACCGCAAGGAAGATGGTATCTGCGGTAGTCACATCAGTTGTGTTGCACGGCAGCCGAGCGTGGATGTCCGCACTAGTGGTGAAATCGAACTACATGACTAACAAAAATGCAGATATAAGGTGATATTCTGGCGGATGAGATGAGATGCGTCTACGAAAGGAAGTAGAGAGGGCAGGTACAAGAGACCATCCTCAAGACGAAAGAACGCTTGACGTCTGTGAATATGTGGCAAGCTCGGCGGGAAAGCGAGCGAACGGTAGGTGGCCGTTCTCACTCACCCCAAACGTATCGCTATGGATAGAGAGACATCAGGGGAATGTAAATTACTACCTCACGCAGTTTCTGATTGGTTTCGGCTGCTTTCGAAGCTACTTGCACAGACTCGGTCCCAAAGACTCGTCAGTACGCTCGAAATGCGACGGCGCAGGACATCGACTATGTCATATTCAGCTGTTCAAGGTTTGACGCATTTGGGCGATCTATATGATGGTCATATGAGATATGCAGCAAGATGACCGACAAGCTGGAAGCCCGGAGCAAGGTCAATACTTTTGCGACAAAGATGCAACGCTAATTATGCCGCTTAGAGAGTGATTGAGTGGAGAGAAGAGGGAATGGAAGTTAATAGATTAGTATGTTAAGGTCCCACCGAACGA